CATACAAATTTAGGCGTCGGAAGGGAGGAGTGAAATCTACGGTGATTGCATCCGATTCGGGACCATCAGGTTGGTACGTAATGACATATGTCCCAAAGAGGTGCTTGACCAAACCTAAGGATCATGTGGAAATGAGTAGTCAGTATCTTCTTTCTATCATAATAGAAAAGATCCCAGTGGATCAACTCACCGGAGAGCATATCCTCTGTGATCTTCATAAGGTCCTCAAAATCCGCGTAGGCCATATAAAACTCACAAATGGTAAATTCTGGATTATGTGTGAGATCGATGCCTTCGTTACGGAACACGCGACCGATTTCGTACACTCGATTGAATCCCCCGATAACCAGCATTTTCAAATACAGTTCCGGGGCAACCCTCATAAAGAGATTCATATTCAATTCATTGTGATACGTCACGAAAGGCTTGGCAGTTGCACCACCAGGTAACATATTCATCATAGGTGTTTCAACCTGATCGGAAAATTTCACAATAACACGTATTAGGCTGCATCGAAATAAGTCATCAACATCATCGACATCGTACAGCGAAATACAGTGAAGCGAACTTCATCGACCGCTGCCAAACTCGCAATACATACAAGGTTAGTGGCAACGTGTAAGGTGGACAAGGACTAAACCTATTTTGAGGGAGAGGAAAGAAAGCGAACCTCTATGATCAGAACAGAGTACACAACTTTACTGTGCATACACGCTTTTCAAGCATCCCTGCCTGATAAGAAATCGCAACAAGAACGCCACTGCTATCGGTTCGCTGCCATATCCTTCAATGTCTGCAATCAACCAGTTGCAGTCTTTCGGACCCCAGCTGGGAAGGAGCGGGACCTTTGTCAGTATCTTGTCGTATCAGTATTGCTATTATTATTAAACTTAAGTGATACGATAAAAGGGGAACGTGATAGGATAAGGGGAAAATTCAAGCTAGAACCAGTTTGTTGATTCTAAGTTTAAAGGCAAGGATATTGTACGTTAGATAGAGGACCGAAGGGGGAGTGTTCCATAGTTCTGCTGTTCTATGGGGAAAAGATGACTGGAAGTTAGAAATGCGACATATGGGGATAGTCATTTGAAATGCGCGGCTAGCCACTTGTGTGCGGGATCTACGAGGAATGAACCAGCGAAAGAGGGACAGAAGCGGAAAGTTCAGAGGCAAAATAGTAGTATCGATAGAATAAGGATAAAGAAGCGACTGCCCGACAGTGAGCTAGTTCAATAGAAAGAGATGGACTAAGTTCCACCCCACATATGACCGCAGTATTCCAGTGTAGGGTGAATCTGCGCCTTGTAAAGCGAGGGGAGATGAATGGGGTGGAGAAACGTCTGGTGTAGAAGAGGAAGCCGATTTTGCGCGCTGCTCGAGAGACAAATAGATAGATATATGATAATCATGAGAGAGGATATGCCCTAATAGGTTGCATGATTATGTGGAACGGAGAATGCTCAGGTTAAAATCTAATGAAGGGGGAGATGCGTGTTTAAGGGAAAAGAATATAAGGAAGTTTTAACAGTATTGAAGAAAACAGTTGCAACAGCCCCAAGCAGAAAAAAGGCCCGGATCAGAATTTGGAGAGAAGCTTTCGTCACTAACACTGGACTTGGCGATGCACGAAGAGGAATGGGACAGAAGAGTGTAGAATAGCGTCATCGGCAAAGGCGTGAATAGGATTTGAAGTTAAAGGAAGGTCATCAATAAACATCAGAAAAAGGTCTGTCATCAAGCAGAATTGAACGAACGCCTCTAGAGCCTTGTGAATACGAGCGGTAATCTCCTTGAGTGCGAAAAGTAATCTACTATGACTAATTCTTGCCCATTTAGTTTCAATGCCGGACTAGGCGACACCCATTTGAACGATAGCGATTACTCGTTTTTTGCCGAAAGGAAAGATAACCCGGGGATCAGTTGTATTTGATGGCTTCTGTTTTGAAGAAACTTATGTCTGGTACTGGAAGGACCAACGTTACTAGCACATCAGCTACTTGATGATAACATCACCCGCAAGATCAAACAACAGGTTAAATATAGTTAGTCCGTAAAATCGTTGAAACTGGTGTACGCTAGTTCTACTGGTATTTAGTCAACCAATGAATGAGCAAAAGGTAATCAGTCCCGATTCAGATGCGGACTGCGAATGAAAAACTATAGAAGCTCTACCACCGCGTCAATTTAGGATCTTATCATGGTGCCCAGTGAGGTTTAGTCGATAACCATCCATATAGCTTTTTTGTGTGCTGGCTTCAGTTGTCTTTAAGGGATATTGATATTGCAAACACTGAAGAACAAGAAAACATGCATGCAAGTTGGCCTAAATGAAATTCGAATTGGAAAAAATGCAACGCCATTAAAATGCTTCCAAATGCAGTGAGCGGTTTTGCTGACGATAACACTAACCTCAAGGAACCCCAGGTCATCCAAAAACGAACGAATGTAGTTGACGATTTTAGCGCGAGTCACAAATCGTTGTCGGACATCTTCATTCATGATCAAATCGAGATATCGTTGACGAAATCGTGTTTCTTTGTCCTTTACACCGTAATGTAAGTGCGGCAATTGATAGAGGCAAGGTGACAGCAACACAAGTTCTTTAGGCAGTATGCTAAGTTCACCCAATTTAGATTTGCCTACTGTGTTAAAAAAAAGAGACATGAACTCACCTGGCTTTCCTATACATCCTACCATATCGCCCAAGCGAAGCAGGTCATTTATAGAGTGGAACTCTTCGGGAGATTTATAATCTCGTAGGTTGGCCATTATTTGCAACCGGTGTCCATCAGCCATTAGGTCATAAAATATAAGCTTGGAGCCGGATTCACGTTTTGCGTGTATTCGTCCTATGACCGGGCAATAGAATCAACTACTTAATTACCTGCTACGCTAACGGTCTCATCGTCCAGATGCTCGCCAGCTTGCAGGTAAGAAAATTTCTCAATAAAATTTCCCAAAGACATGGACACATGGAATTTGTGTGGATAGGCAGATTTGCCACTCTTAGCCAGATCAGAGACTACTGACTTCCGAAGCTCGTGGTAACTCTGTGAACGATAGAACTAGAACGGTCGAATATACTTACGACTGCATCAATCTCCTCTGCTTTCTCTTTTGATTCGCCTTTTCTTTGAACATTCGATTTCACATCAGACCTATATAATGTAATGAAATGACAAGCAATATTTTACTTGCTTGGACATCTTGCTTGATACGAGCCGCGGATGAGCAAAAAGTAAACCAAGGCCGCGCCTGAATACCGTGGACATAAACCCGAACGAAAGGGCCTAGCCGCACAACACCATTGAGTTCAGTTCAGTTTTCAAATTCAAATTTAAATCACAGGACGTAGAGAGGTCTTCGCTTGTTTGGTGTCCTGGTAATGGCGGGTTCCGTCTGTGGACCGACTCGCCTGCGAGTGTAAAGCTTCTTCCGATGTCCAATGTCCAATGTCCAGTTTACAGGCGGAGAAAGCTCGTTGGCTTGTAGTTTTGCCTGTTTCTTGATCTATACGGTAAAGTCTGATGTTCGGAAATTTTTGTTTTTAATTCGCTTACTGTTGTAATCGGAAAGTTTAAGCAAAAAGAAAAGAAAAGGTTAGTAGGGTGCTTCTTGTCGGCGTACCAGGTTAGTTACCTGTTGTCAGTTATCTGAACCGAATTGCGTGCCTTAAGAGGTGTACTGCGTGGACAGTCCAGAGGTCAACCTGAAATTACCTCGAGGGTACTCAAAGTTGCTGTCCACTGCCGAGGTGACGTCCATGGCGAATTTATCCAGTTTTTGCTTGAAGCTCGCTGTCGTGGGCGCAGAGACCACTTTCTCGGGTAATGAGTCCCAAGCGGATGTGGCCCGGATGGAGAAGTGCAACCGTCTGCTGTTAGT